AAGACCATGACAGATAGACCTGCTATAATTAAGTGTGACAGTAGGGCCTTGGGGGATTATTGGAATATTTATAAAATGCCAGAAGAAGATGTACAGTAGACTCAGTGCTTTCTGACGTGTGATCCCACCACAGCTGTAACTGAAAGCTTGTGCTCTGTAAATAACTGATTGTTTTATAATTACCTTTGAGGGCGAACCCCCTCCCCCCCATTTAGATGTGAAGTAGAGGGTGGGCCGGGGTATCGTCCTGTACTGTCCTTCCCCAGGCTTTGGTTGCTATTTTAGGTGCTGCTGATGAGCCACTCTGCATGTGGACATGCAGCCCTGGGACTGATGTGGTACGGCATGTCCCAAATAGCTGCTGGTTGAGATTGCACCAGAAGAAACTGCAGAGAGTTTATTTTTCAGGGTATCCATAGAGGAATACATACAATACTCAGCAAAAGCAATAGATGCTTCTGGATACATAGCAAGTTTAATTGCGAGGATCAGGGGGAGCATATTATTGGGTTCAAGAGAGGAGAAAATCTCATTCTGGCTCTCTTACAGTGGGTGAGTTGTTTTGACTGAAGCCCAGTTTGTCTCTCTGGAGTGGGGGTCAGGACACATGCCGCTTACAAGGCAGTTTGGCAATAGAACAAGCCTGTATGGCAAATCAGAAGCTGGTCTGACCTGAACTTTTGACATATTTGTCACCATGAATGGGGTTATGGGAAGTATGTGATGTGGCCTCCAAAGGAGCAGTTGGATATCATCCAGTTTAGAAACAGAGGAGCTTTGGTCCGAAGTGACTAAACAACACTCTGCCATTGTTTATATCGACAGCATGTGCATTCTGGGCCACTTTTACTGTTGTCCATCAGTCAGCTGGATTTGTTGCTGTTTGTAATTCTGGAAGCCACTATCCATTCACGTCAACAAGCACATGAATATGTTTGTAAAAAGCTGTGGAACATTGTCTGATTTTTTGCCCTCTTGATGAAGTGACAGACTCTTATTATTTTTTGGCAACATTACACTGTTGTCTTTCTGTATACTGCAGTGTCATTTCTCAGTGCACAGGTGCTCTCATCTCCTGTCAGCTCCGCAGTTTGAAAGGGATCGCAGAGAGCTTTGATGTCCCCACTCCCCCACACTCTCCACAAACCCAAATCCCTCTGCACAGAGGCCTCCACACGTGTTCACCATACAGATGACCTCAGAACAGCAGTAATGCACCACAAAATAGTAGGACCACTCGTTATGACAGTAAGATGGATCCAGCTTGAAAAAACCTTTGGATTACAGTGCTTCTTTTTTAGGACAGCCAATATCCCACGTGTCAGTCTGCAGGTTTCTGTTAGTTGTGTGAGAAACCAGTCAGATAGTTGACTGACTATCAGGGATTCAGATTAAGCACAAGTATAATCAAAGGGAGCTGTTCAGCTGTTCTCAAACACTAGAGTAACTTAGTTATTCATTTCAAATATTTGCCTATTTATTTGTTTGTTTGGTGTTTTGTTGTTTGCTCTCTATTGCTGCTGGAACACTGGAATTTCCCCATTGTGGGATCAATAAAGTCTTACCCTGCCCTATGGGATTAGATGACTTTCTCATGCTTACTTGCATAACTGTCAGATCATAATCAGAGGTCATGTAAGGCAGACAGCCCTGAAAATACAATTTACTGTACATATGGAAACGATTTTGTCCACTCTGGAGTTTATGGACAGTTTGAGAGTATTTAAGCATATTGAAATGTCAGAATTAAAAATGCACCGATTGCAATTTTCTTGGCTGATTTTGTTTTTATTTTTTGAAGTCTCGTGCCGAGTCAGATTTTTCTTTTTCTAAGAACGGTAATTGACAGCATGTGCAAACATTTTTAACTGTTCTTTAATGATAAAAATCAATGATCACATTAAATAGCTAAGTTTTACATTTTCTGTCTTACATATGTAGTTGTAATTCAGACTGATCGGTCATCACCACTCACTGCCGATCAAGCCAAAAACCAGCTAATTCTGATCTGCAGCCAAATAACTGGTGTACCTTTAGTCAGAATAGTAAGGAAACAAATAGGCACATGGCGAGCAATTTTGACAACACATCTCTGTGTGCAAGGAAGCCAAAATGGTTAGAACAGTGTGCTTTTTTAAAAAAGGATCTGCCTTGCGGTGGCTGCTTTCTGCTGAATTTTCTTGAACTGAATTGTGGTTTTGCAAAGTGCATCCTACTTTCAGGACATGCTACACTTGTGGTAGGTGCCTCATACTTCAGCTTCAATGCTGCAGCTACAGTGGTCAGTGTCTGACTCGCAAAATGAATGATTTAATAAAGTTCCGTGTGCAGTCATGAATGTAATTGTGCTAAATTATCCATCACCCTCCTTTTTGTCAGTGCCAGAGCAGCTTTGTCTTAATCCCCACATCCTCTGGAAATGGAAGCAATTGCAGGGTTTATCCATTTATCAGAAAAGGCCAAGTGGATTTAAATGCAGTCACATATAAAACCGTCCTCATTGTTAATACTCATTGGTGGTTTCCTGGTTTTGGTAGTGGCCTGGTGTTCTTGATGTTGAAGTTCTGAATTCTTGATTGAGCCTCTGCTTTGTTGCTGAAATGCCATCATACACATCAATGATGTTCACTGTAGTGGAGAGCGTAACAGCTGTGATAACCATTCATCCACACTGAGATGTGCAGAAACTCCTCCCCCATGTGTCATCTGTCTCAGTCACAGTGATTTATTTCCTTAACATTATCAGAACAATGGAGCTGCTGTCAAGTTGAGCTTTTTTGGTTATTTAATTTACTGCATGTGCCAAAGCTCCCTCACACCTGCACACCAATACGGATCTCACCCCTCTTTGACCGGAACCTTTGAGAGTCAGCAGTTGATTGGCCATTAACTAGCTTGACGTATTGAACTGTTGATGAGCTCCTATTAAAGTTCACTGGGGTTGTTTGGATATTTTGCAAAGACATTTGTTGCCATCTCGAGACACCACCAAATCATTTTATGTGGTAAAGCACTGGTAATGTTCTTGCACCACACTGGCTAAGAAAACGGTTTGCTTAGGAGCACAAGCATTCCAAATATGATTTTATATTAGGCAGCGGCAAAAGCTGTAGTGCTTAGATCACCATGGGTCGTCTTGCATGCGTAAAGGGAACAAAAAGCAAATGGAAACTTGCTGACTTGAACTTGAAAGTAAAGCCACCCAACAGTACTGCATGTTTGATAAGAGAGATCATGGTAACTGGTGAGCTAGTGATCCAGACACCTGGGATCAGACTGCCACAGTTTTATAATTAATTAGGTCGACAGTACAAGGTATCTCATTACTGTGGGGTGAAAATCTGATGTTTCACTTATCTAGGTGGGTGTTCTAAACAATGTCTTCAAGTTCAACCCACATTGTCCTCAGATTTAAACAATAATGGACACTATCAAACACAATGTTGTTTCTTATGGGCCCTCACTGAACTGTACCAGTGAATGTGCTATGTTCAGTGGTAGTTCCCTCTCCCAGTTTTCTGAATAATAGACAGCAAATATAATCCCATTTCCAAACTAAATCAAAACAGATGTACCATATGGTGCAGACAGTGCTTTGCTCTTGAATGATACTACACATACAGTTTTTACAGTCTTCATACTATCCACTGCACACGAGGCTTGAGGCTGTTCCCAAAAGGTGGTCAATACCTTCTCTTAAGTACTTGATCTTTATGTATTGGTCTTTACATTATCAATATCTCATCAGCTGTAAGTGGGGAAAATACAAATCAACTTTACCACTTTGAAACAGTTATCCTAGTCCTGTTCAGCTGAACCTTTTACTGTTCCAATATTTTGCTGGTGTGTCAAGAAGCAGACAGTAAGACCTTACAAGCTGTTAACTTTTATAAGAACACCTAGTCCTGTGAGTTGTACAGATAATTTGTGAAGGCATGTTGCAGCTTCTGTGGTTTCTACCTTTCAGATCAGTCTGTTCCTCTTACTATTGGTGTGTGGGGCTCTAAATCACATCATTAATCTCTAAATCACACCATTAATCTGTTTCCTCTGCTGAAAACGTCTGGCCCAGACCACCATCCATTAGGAGAAATCCATTATACATGGCCCTGGCCAGACAAGACACACAGAGGAAACAATTTGCCACAGTGTGGCCGTATGTGTGTATTATAATTGTTGCCAATTGTTGAGGATATAAATGCAAATGAGGGGCACTCTGACAGGTGAGTTTCCTCAGAAGAGACATCAGAGGCTCATTTACCTGCACATACAACTGGTTTTAAGTGAGGACTCGTGTTGCTGTCTTAAGCAGGTTGGGTCACCACTTAACAGGCACTGATGTATGTGTGTTTGTGTGTGTGCTACCCGCTCTGTGCTGTAACTCATGGTGCGATGGGAATCAGGTTCCGTTCACCCTGGAGTTATTTTCAACCCTAATGAAACACCTGAGACCAGTGTTGCCAACCTCACCTCTCCACAAACATTCAGAAAACCCTTAACTAAGGGATGATATGCAGCATTTGTTCATTCTGTAGTACTGATGTGTGAATGCGCTGCACTGTAACTGACCTTCTTGCTGTTTCTTTGTCCTTTTCCCCCATTATTGGAGTTTATGTAGAGTACATTTTAATTAGCTGCAGCCTGAGGTCATGAAGATGTAAGAGCTAAAAAAAAAAATCTGCAACAGTTGGCTGAATCCCTAAATATTGTTACATTAAACCATCTATAGCAAATTAATTTACAGTTGACCAAACTACTAGTGGAAACTCATTGCTGTTTTCTGGTTAGGCTGCTCTCTGCAGGCTGGTAGGTTCATATCTGCAGAGTCATGCTTGGTTTTCTTACGAATGAAACACCTAATATTAGGAAACATATAAATATTGAGACAGTACATTGTATTTCTACCATGTGACTAGGTTTGTACATAATTAGGATATATAAATCTATCTTCAGTTCTTGATCTGTCTGTCCGTGTTTCTCTTCTTATTGCGTTTGTATAGAGATCCGGGCCCAGTTAGTGGAACAGCAGAAATGTCTGGACCAGCAGACCGAGATGAGGGTCCAGCTGCTGCAGGACCTCCAGGACTTCTTCAGGAAGAAGGCAGAGATTGAGATGGAATACTCCAGAAACCTGGAGAAACTGGCTGAGCGCTTCATGGCAAAAACTCGCAGCACCAAGGACCACCAGCAGTACAAGTGAGGAGATGCTGTCTTACTGTTTGTGTGTGCTCTGTTTATGTTGTATGGGGTCGTTTATGGAATCAGAATTTTTAATCTTATGGTTTAATTAATTTCTTTCTTTTTAGGATTACGTTTGGGCTTTTTATGCCTTTATTAATCAGTAAGTCACGTACGGGCAGATAGGAAACAGAGTCCTGCGACAGAGCTGTTGACGGCCAGAGTCAAACCGCCAATGTTGTGAACCCTAGCGTGATGTATGGTGCACCACACTGTAACCACTCGGCTATGGGGTGCCCCGTGGTTTAACTTCTTTAGAAAGTTTATGATAATATCTGTCTATAGGTTCAAAAGGATTATTGTTCTCTTGGGCCATAATAATCTTCACATTCATATTCACATTTGGTCAGGCAAAGACAAAAAGCAGCTCAGTGATCATGTTTTATTTTTATTCTCATGTTTCTATATTGCAGATGTTATGCACTCTGAAATTCTAGAGCACTGCATTGTGTAATATTGTACAGTGTAGTGGAGCTTTATAGCTATACACTATAGGGGATATTTACTAAGGTTTGTGGCTCATTTTCTGGCACTAAACAGTAAAATTGCATGTGTTCATTTACTAAGACGTTGCAATGGGGTCTTGTGGTGGAGAAACAGAAGAAATGCAGCACCGCAGGAATTTGTGTGTTTGTTTCGTGCAATATATATTTTAAGGCATCCCTGTTTGGGGATGCAAAATCAGGGAGGAGAGAATGGAAACATACAAACACCCTCAGTGCCTGATTTACCACCGCTGTGACAGAGGGAACTGTGACTGAAATCTAATGTCAGGAGAGAGTAGTTGTAAAACTTGCAGCACTGCTGTCAGCGTGGCAGCTGTTAGTCATCTGGGGCCTCGTTTGAGTTAAGGAGTGGGTGCGCATAAATTGCATCGCTCACCAAAGAAGAATATGAGGAACTTTTACAGACTTTCAGGTCAAACCATGCTTCAGTTACTGAATGAAATAAAAGATGATTTGACTGGCAGGGGACTATGGAATTGCCTTTCGAAATATGTTTGTTGTTCCGCATCTGAGGTGTATTCAGATTAACGCAGCTGTGCTCATTTACATAATCAGTGTTGTTAACTAGGGCAACCCATGGCCTTTCTGTGCGGAGTCTGCATGTTCTCCCTGTGCCTGTGTGGGTTCTCTCCAGGTACTCTGGCTTCCTCCCCACAGTCCAAAGACATGCAGCTTAGGTTGACTGACAACTCTGAATTGCCCTTAGGAGTGATTCTTCTTTAGGACAAGCAGTATAGATAATGGATGGATGGACCGAAGTTGGTACATACATCACCAAATAAAAAAATTGCAGTGCCCCAATATTTTGTGCACCTGATGATACTTTGCGACATGTTCACTAAATATCACCCTGTGTGTTATACAGTCTACTGAAATTTGCACACAGGTATAAATGTGAACAGATGTTAAATATGTATCCTAAATATAAGGATATGCTCTATACCATAAGCGTTCTAGTGGCTGTTTCATACGGTTGGGTATTATTAGACTTTTTTCATTCTCATGCTAATATGATACCTCACCATGTAAGATTAGCACAGTTACAATGCAGGAGAAATATCTGATTAAAAATAAAGTTTGGCCAACAATTTGATGCCAACCTTTGATACTTGACAGCTTTTGACAGGCTGTCCAACTATATATGAGAGGGAGTTGAGAGGAAGTTTGTGTCTGTCATCTTCCTCTCTGTTTGTTCCTTAATTCTTCCTCTTTCTCCTTCATTTCTTTTCAGTTTGACTTGAAGTCATTTTGAGGTTCGTGACACAGTTAAGCATGCTGTAGTTTTTGGCCTTGTTGCACTGTTGCAGTCCGCTCACAGAAAAAGCAGACATTAGCACATTGTTTGAACTTGTGGTGGGAACAAAAACAAAATGTATGTTTGTCCTCTCTGTCTGCAAATAGGCCCTGCTCTCTGTCTGAAGCTCCAGCAGCTCTGACAGCCATGTGTGGCTGTAATTGGCGAGGGGACTCGGGCTATGGCACTCTGTGGTTTTCATCATGTGATGTACAGTCTGGGTACTTCATTCATAGGGTAAACATTTGGCAAGCACCTAGGAACAGATTTATTACATAAATACAAGGAGTCTGAATAACCCTCCTGTGGGTTGTAAATCATGTGGCCTATATATTTTTTTATCCAGATAAATACGCACACAGTAAGACCTGTGTTCCTCATACTATCCAGGTTATTTTCATTGGACAGATTGGTCTGTGGCATGAAACAACCTTTTGCTAGCTTTCATATAACAGGTTAGCTAGGCAGAGCAGCACAAATGCTAAAGTTGCACTAAAATAAGCAGCTAAATCTTTGTGTAATTACTCTTTAAAATCTGCGT